AGCTATCTACATTGTGTCTTGGTCCACCTAATCTACAATGTATCTTTGTCAAGCTATCTACATGTTCACTGTGTCTTGGTCTACCTAATCTACAGTGTATATTTGTCAAGCTATATACATGTACACTGTGTCTTGGTCTACCTAATCCACAGTGTATCTTTGTCAAGCTATCTACAAGTACACTGTGTCTTGGTCTACCTAATCTACAGTGTATCTTTGTCAAGCTATATACAAGTACACTGTGTCTTGGTCCACCTAATCTACAGTGTATCTTTGTCAAGCTATCTACAAGTACACTGTGTCTTGGTCTACCTAATCTACAGTGTATCTTTGTCAAGCTTTCTACATGTACACTGTGTCTTGGTCTACCTAATCTACAGTGTATCTTTGTCAAGCTATCTACATGTACACCGAGTCTTGGTCTACCTAATCTACAGTGTATCTTTGTCAAGCTATCTACAAGTAAACTGTGTCTTGGTCTACCTAATCTACAGTGTATCTTTGTCAAGCTATGTACATGTACACTGTGTCTTGGTCTACCTAATCAGCAGTGTATCTTTGTCAAGCTATATACATGTACACCGTGTCTTGGTCTACCTAATCTACAGTGTATCTTTGTCAAGCTATCTACATGTACACTGTGTCTTGGTCTACCTAATCTACAGTGTATCTTTGTCAAGCTATCTACATGTAAACTGTGTCTTGGTCTACCTAATCTACAGTGTATCTTTGTCAAGCTATCTACAAGTACTCTGTGTCTTGGTCTACCTAATCTAAAGTGTATCTTTGTCAAGCTATCTACATGTACACTGTGTCTTGGTCCACCTAATCTACAGTGTATCTTTGTCAAGCTATCTACAAGTACACTGTGTCTTGGTCCACCTAATCTACAGTGTATCTTTGTCAAGCTATCTACACTGTGTCTTGGTCCACCTAATCTACAGTGTATCACTGTCAAGCTATCTACACTGTGTCTTGGTCTACCTAATCTACAGTGTATCTTTGTCAAGCTATCTACATGTACACTGTGTCTTGGTCTACCTAATCTAAAGTGTATCTTTGTAAAGCTATCTACATGTACACTGTGTCTTGGTCTACCTAATCCACAGTGTATCTTTGTCAAGCTATCTACAAGTACACTGTGTCTTGGTCTACCTAATCTACAGTGAATCTTTGTCAAGCTATATACAAGTACACTGTGTCTTGGTCCACCTAATCTACAGTGTATCTTTGTCAAGCTATCTACAAGTACACTGTGTCTTGGTCAACCTAATCTACAGTGTATCTTTGTCAAGCTATCTACATGTACACTGTGTCTTGGTCTACCTAATCTACAGTGTATCTTTGTCAAGCTATCTACATTGTGTCTTGGTCTACCTAATCTACAATGTATCTTTGTCAAGCTATCTACAAGTACACTGTGTCTTGGTCTACCTAATCTACAGTGTATCTTTGTCAAGCTATCTACATGTACACTGTGTCTTGGTCTACCTAATCTACAGTGTATCTTTGTCAAGCTATCTACATGTACACTGTGTCTTGGTCTACCTAATCTACAGTGTATCTTTGTCAAGCTATCTACATTGTGTCTTGGTCCACCTAATCTACAATGTATCTTTGTCAAGCTATCTACATGTTCACTGTGTCTTGGTCCACCTAATCTACAGTGTATCTTTGTCAAGCTATCTACATTGTGTCTTGGTCCACCTAATCTACAGTGTATCTTTGTCAAGCTATCTACATGTACACTGTGTCTTGGTCCACCTAATCTACAGTGTATCTTTGTCAAGCTATCTACATTGTGTCTTGGTCCACCTAATCTACAGTGTATCTTTGTCAAGCTATCTACATGTACACTGTGTCTTGGTCTACCTAATCTACAGTGTATCTTTGTCAAGCTATCTACATTGTGTCTTGGTCCACCTAATCTACAGTGTATCTTCGTCAAGCTATCTACATGTACACTGTGTCTTTGTCCACCTAATCTACAGTGTATCTTTGTCAAGCTATGTACACTGTGTCTTGGTCTACCTACTCTACAGTGAATCTTTGTCAAGCTATCTACATTGTGTCTTGGTCCACCTAATCTACAGTGTATCTTTGTCAAGCTATCTACATTGTGCCTTGGTCCACCTAATCTACAGTGTATCTTTGTCGAGCTATCTACATTGTGCCTTGGTCCACCTAATCTACAGTGTATCTTTGTCAAGCTATCTACATTGTGTCTTGGTCCACCTAATCTACAGTGTATCTTTGTCAAGCTATCTACATTGTGTCTTGGTCTACCTAATCTACAGTGTATCTTTGTCAAGCTATCTACATTGTGTCTTGGTCTACCTAATCTACAGTGTATCTTTGTCAAGCTATCTACACTGTGTCTTGGTCCACCTAATCTACAGTGTATCTTTGTCAAGCTATCTACATTGTGTCTTGGTCCACCTAATCTACAGTGTATCTTTGTCAAGCTATCTACATTGTGCCTTGGTCCACCTAATCTACAGTGTATATTTGTCAAGCTATCTACATTGTGTCTTGGTCCACCTAATCTACAGTGTATCTTTGTCAAGCTATCTACATTGTGCCTTGGTCTACCTAATCTACAGTGTATCTTTGTCAAGCTATCTACATTGTGTCTTGGTCTACCTAATCTACAGTGTATCTTTGTGAAACAAGTAAAGTTTAGGTTTCAGTATGTTTGAAGCAAGATCGAGTCAACGTGATGTTGCACAATTTAACGTCCACAGAAACACCATTTTGGTGTTTATGGCAACGCTGGCAACAGGCGAATGCAGTCAGAGTCATGCTCGGAGTGGCAGGCCACGCGTAACCAATATTCAACAAGACAACTGGATTCGAAGAACACACCTACGAAATCGATTCCAGCCAGCAATAGTGACTGCAAGAAGCATCCCTGGCCTTCGACGAATATCTTCACAAACCGTACGTTGTCTCCTTAGATGTGTAGGGATTGACGCCAGAAGACCCGCCAGACGTCCCATGTTGACAGGAAACCACCGTCAAGCACGTCTACAGTGGTGCAGACAGCGTCTACGCGGGACGGCCATGCAGTGGGGACAAGTTCTATTCACTGACGAGTCTCGTTTTCACCTCAGCCACAGCGATGGACGGATTCGAGTGTACCGACGTCGAGGTGAACGTTACGTCAATCATTGTGTCATGGAAGAAGAGCGGTTCGGGGGCGGCGACGTTATGGTATGGGATGGGATTACAGAAAGACAGAGGGCCCGTTTGATAGTAGTAGAGAGAAATCTCAATGGACAACGCTACCGCGACGAGATCATCGGCCCTGTTGTTCTACCGTTTTTGCGTCGTCATGGCATTACCTTCCAACATGACAACTCCCGGCCTCATTTTGCTCGATTTGTTCAGGATCCTCTACAACATAACAACGTGAATGTCATCCCCTGGCCGGCTCGCTTCCCTGATCTCTCACCAAAGGAGCACATGTGGGATGAGATGGATCGGCGCCTTCGACGTCAGCAACGTGATCTACAGACATTTCAGGAACTTCGAAACATGCTCCAGCAGATATGGACAGATATCCCACAGGACTTAGTGCGACGCCTGGTCCATTCCTTGAGACGAAGATGTGTTGCTTGCATCGCAACCAGAGGTGGACACACACGCTATTGATTTGTAAATTGACATTTTTGCATGTTCATGTTTTTTTTATGAAATCACGCAATGAATTAAACTAAATGATGGTGTGGCTCGATCATTTGATTACCGTCTTCGCCATGCTTGTGGTTTTGACACAGAGGAACGACCCGGAATATGTATAGGGCGTCATGGAAAATGATGATTACAACATTATTTTGAATAGGCCTTTTTACAGCCTCAGATGTATCAAGAAACCAACAAACCTGATCTTGTGCTTTTTGAAAAATCCAATGAAATCATTTATATCATTGAAGTTCCTGTCCTTTTGACACTAATGTGATTGACACGATTTAGGATTAACAATGAAAATATGCGGACCTCGCTTTCGAAATGTCACGCTTGCATCCCAGGTACCAAGTTGTCCTACTCGCCATTGTTCGCGGTGCCTTAGGTTTGGTACCTCCCACTTTGTTGACTGACATTGGGAGAGTACCTGGGTTTGCTACCAGGAATACAGCCCTCCTGACAATCTGGGTAATGCAGAAGGCCGCAGTGTTTGGGGGTCTTCACATTCTCCGAAAAGTTAGGTTGGTTCGACTAGGCAGCGATTCCTGGGAGAAGTCTTATTCGCGTTCTTGGCTGCATGTAGAGAGGGCAAGGGGCCTGAGCTGATAATGAGCCTAACCAGCCTGACTCTGCCAGGATCTCCCTTTGGTGTTGGCGGGTGCAACATGTCTCTTTATATTTGTAGCCTCAGTTTAAGACCCTCCCCGAGTTCACCAGCCCGTGTTGGTGGGTGCAACATGTCTCTTTGTATTTGTAGCCTCAGTTTAAGACCCTCCCCGAGTTCACCAGCCCGTGTTGGTGGGTGCAACATGTCTCTTTGTATTTGTAGCCTCAGTTTAAGACTCTCCCCGAGTTCACCAGCCCGTGTTGGCGGGTGCAACATGTCTCTTTATATTTGTAGCCTCAGTTTAAGACTCTCCCCGAGTTCACCAGCCCGTGTTGGTGGGTGCAACATGTCTCTTTATATTTGTAGCCTCAGTTTAAGACTCTCCCCGAGTTCACCAGCCCGTGTTGGTGGGTGCAACATGTCTCTTTATATTTGTAACCTCAGTTTAAGACTCTCCCCGAGTTCACCAGCCCGTGTTGGCGGGTGCAACATGTCTCTTTATATATGTAGCCTCAGTTTAAGACTCTCCCCGAGTTTACCAGCCCGTGTTGGTGGGTGCAAGATGTCTCTTTGTATATGTAGCCTCAGTTTAAGACTCTCCCCGAGTTTACCAGCCCGTGTTGGTGGGTGCAAGATGTCTCTTTATATTTGTAGCCTCAGTTTAAGACTCTCCGCGAGTTCACCAGCCCGTATTGGCGGGTGCAAGATGTCTCTTTATATTTGTAGCCTCAGTTTAAGACTCTCCCAGAGTTCACCAGCCCGTGTTGGCGGGTGCAAGATGTCTCTTTATATTTGTAGCCTCAGTTTAAGACTCTTCCCGAGTTCACCAGCCCGTGTTGGTGGGTGCAACATGTCTCTTTATATTTGTAGCCTCAGTTTAAGACTCTCCGCGAGTTCACCAGCCCGTGTTGGTGGGTGCAACATGTCTCTTTATATTTGTAGCCTCAGTTTAAGACTCTCCGCGAGTTCACCAGCCCGTGTTGGTGGGTGCAACATGTCTCTTTATATCTGTAGCCTCAGTTTAAGACTCACCCCGAGTTTACCAGCCCGTGTTGGCGGGTGCAACATGTCTCTTTATATATGTAGCCTCAGTTTAAGACTCTCCCCGAGTTTACCAGCCCGTATTGGTGGGTGCAAGATGTCTCTTTGTATATGTAGCCTCAGTTTAAGACTCTCCCCGAGTTCACCAGCCCGTATTGGTGGGTGCAAGATGTCTCTTTATATTTGTAGCCTCAGTTTAAGACTCTCCCCGAGTTCACCAGCCCGTATTGGCGGGTGCAAGATGTCTCTTTATATTTGTAGCCTCAGTTTAAGACTCTCCCCGAGTTCACCAGCCCGTGTTGGTGGGTGCAACATGTCTCTTTATATTTGTAGCCTCAGTTTAAGACTCTTCCCGAGTTCACCAGCCCGTGTTGGTGGGTGCAACATGTCTCTTTATATTTGTAGCCTCAGTTTAAGACTCTCCGCGAGTTCACCAGCCCGTGTTTTGATGGGTGCAACATGTCTCTTTATCTTTGTAGCCTCAGTTTAAGACTCTCCCCATGTTTACCAGCCCGTGTTGGTGGGTGCAAGATGTCTCTTTATATTTGTAGCCTCAGTTGAAGACTCTCCCCGAGTTCACCAGCCCGTGTTGGTGGGTGCAACATGTCTCTGTATATGTAGCCTCAGTTTAAGACTCTCCCCGAGTTTACCAGCCCGTGTTGGTGGGTGCAAGATGTCTCTTTATATTTGTAGCCTCAGTTTAAGACTCTCCCAGAGTTCACCAGCCCGTGTTGGTGGGTGCAACGTGTCTCTTTATATTTGTAGCCTCAGTTTAAGACTCTCCGCGAGTTTACCAGCCCGTGTTGGTGGGTGCAAGATGTCTCTTTATATTTGTAGCCTCAGTTTAAGACTCTCCGCGAGTTCACCAGCCCGTGTTGGTGGGTGCAAGATGTCTCTGAAAACAAGTGTCCTCAGACCATGAAGCGAAGCAGGGAGCCGCTAGCGTGGATCGCCAGCAACGGGAGGATGACGGGGGAAACAAGGATGCTGCGTTGTCTGCCCTACTTCTTCATCATCGGCCAGTGCAAGTGTGGGACGTCGGATCTGTTCAGTAGAATCAACAGTCACCCTGATGTAACTCCTCATGCCATGAAGGAGACACAATGGGTTCGTCAGTCACAACTCAGTACGTGGAAATGTAACTTACAAAGTAAAACTATGTAGTTGAATCGGGTTTGATCCGGAAAATATGTCGAAAATTTGTAAAGAATATCATTCGGCTTGGCTATCATGGCAAAATGGATTCCACACAAATAAAATATAAAATATGATGAATTAATAAATAGGAATAGGGAACAACTCTTTTAGTTGCAAATGTCCGCGTTCTGCTCTTTCGGTTTATATGACGTGTCGTGATTTAAAACTTCTATTTGTTTAATTGGACGATGGATACCAAAAATATAGGAGTTAGTAAGTAACCTTTTGTACATGTAATGTTTGGTAAAACAAAAAGACAACACGATTAACCTTCTTAGATCAACAAGTCAGGTTTGAGTCTGAACTCTTTTCGAATCTTGTTTAAGCCCCCATTACACAGGGCAGCGACCTTTGCGCAACCTTCGAGCGATCAAAAACTGGCCAGGACGCTCAATGGTCGCCTGAACCCAGAAAATCTTGTTTCTATGTGACTGTCCCAGCAGTTGTTCAGCAGTAAGTGCTCAGTTGTTCAGCGTCTGCAACCACAATGAAACACTGCAGCTACAAGCCCTCTATTTATAGGCAGGCTGAGGAGGTACTGCATGAGGCAGAAAAGAGGCAGAAGCATTGTCATGGTGTCTCAAGTGTTGCGTGGTCGCCGAATGGAGGCACGGCGGTCGCCATACTCATCGTTCAATGCACGCTGTTGGTCGCCCAAAGGAGGCACAAGGGAGGCAGAAGCATCGCCCAGATTTACGGGACAATATATCAGCAGAACGCATCTATTACCTGGCGACCATTGGGCGACCACTGGGCCTTCATTCTGCAACAACGACAATGATTGTGCCTCCCTTCTGCCTCCTTTGAGCCACCTTTGAGCAACCAACCTCCTTGGCGACCTTTGAGCGACTGTTTTGAACATGTTCAAAAATTCACGGCGACCACGGCGACCACGGCGACCACGGCGACCACGGCGTCCATGGCGACCACGGCGTCCACGGCGACCACGGCATCCATGGCGACCACGGCGACCACGGCGACCACGGCGTCCACGGCGACCACGGCGTCCACGGCCTCCACGGCGACCACGCGTCCACGGCGACCACGGCGTCCACGGCGACCACGGCGTCCACGGCGACCACGGCGACCACGGCGACCACGGCGTCCACGGCGTCCACGGCGACCACGGCGACCACGGCGTCCATGGCGATGTCTGAACCTCCCGTGACGACCTGGCAAATTCTGTGGTCGCACACGGGAGGCACAAAGGTCTCCATCCAATGTAAAGGCCCCATTAAACGACATAGTGTTATTGACTGCGTATAGTATGTTCCTAAACGTTGACATATGGATGCGATGCTTGAAGAATTCAGATGCAACGTCATGAATAGAAAAAGCGTATTTTATTTTGTCTCAAATTATAATGATTAATACACTCCAACTTTCACACAATGATGAAATTCTCTCTTCATTCCCAATAGAACAAAAAATTGAAGTGGACAAAGGCACGCTCCACTTTTTACCACTAATAGCCAGAGACTACAACAACTCGATGCAAATATACTTTGTACGTTGTCAGAATGACATGATTTCATTGATATGTCTGCAATTCTAGCCTCTGGAGGAAATTGTATGACCTTTCTCTCACACATCAAGCTTAGAAATAACAATCGTACTTCCTTTGTCACAAATAGTAAAATTTCACAGATTATTGAAATTCCCTCTTCATACTCAAGTACAACAATTGATTAATAGTCCATGAGCCAGAGAAGATTTGACTACCAAACAGAGGGACACATTACCAATATGATTTTCAGCTAGCTTGATGTCTCAACTGTAGAATTTCATGTGATGGACATTTCAGATGCCCAGCTAAATACGATTTTGGCGGCCATTTTCCAAGATGGCGGCCATTTCTTCACTTTTTCTACAGATTTCAGAAACATTTTTACCAGTTACAGTCAAATGGCTGTCACAAACGCTATTGCTATTTTTTTTCAAATATGATGCAAATGTTCTTTGAAGACAAACAGTTTCATAGATATGTTTCCATCTTTTACTTTCAGGCGAATCGTGTACCTCCATAGATACGTACCTCTATTTGCTGCAGAAGAGTGCCAATTTCATACGGATGAACCACAGAAAGGACACCGTCAGCCCATATATTTTAGGTAAAACCATGATACTCTCCTGTGTGTCTTATCGGAGTAGAAAATGGAAAGGGAATTTAGCAAAACGCCTACATTGTACATATCGTATTCGACGTAATAAGTGCCCCGCTCTAATGAGCGCCCACGGCCATATTTGCTAAAATATTGGCTAGTGAACATTCCAAATTAGCACCCCTTCCGATTGGTCCATGTACAAAGGACTTATTTATTCGCGTATAATGCGGACTCGTGTGTTATATGCACCTTTAGTTATGGGCATTTAAATTCTGGAAAAATACATCTGTCGTATATAAACATTTAAGGCTGTCAGCATAAACCAGGAAATGTATCTTTCAACCCTGTTTTTTTTTCACCAAAATAATATTCTTATAAGAGCCCCCTATTTTTAATTTTGAGAGCGCCCTGGGCGCTTGTTACGTCGAATACGGTACACTGAATACATATAATATAGGTAAAACCATGATACTCTCAGATGACGTTTCAGGCAAGTATATCTTTTATGTATATATTAAATCATACTTTAGTAAATAAACGAAAAGGGAATTCTGAAAATACATTTCTATACTTTATATATGACTATGGCCCTGAGACGATATGGGTTAGAAGTCTGTAATCTTTAGTAACCCATGTGGTCAGACTCGTTGTCTTGGTTGATGCATGGTGTCGTGTCATAATTGTTTAGATTGATGCCCATGATGTCAACCACTGGGTTGAGCCAGACTTTTTTTATAAACGTTTTTATTGTTCCCAGAGTTGTAGATTAATACAGTATTCCGTCAAAGACATATTTCGGTTTGCATAGAATGGCACAATACACTCTTTAGAAAATAAAAGGGTTGGAAACAAACATTGTCCTATTTCAAACAAAAACGGTTGCAACACACAGTCAGAATCAAACATATCATGTATCAACAGAGAGCTATGAATCAAATGCTGAGAATAAAGGTAACCATTTTTTGTTAAAGTTACTTTTGTCATCCTTTTTCATAGCAATAAATTTCTCGATTGAATATATGTTTTTAAACAATAATTTCGGTTTGGTTCCTTTAATTCCACTTACATGAATATGCCTTTTTCCCAATAAAACTATATGATTGATTAAAGTATTAGAGTAGTTAGAACCAAACCAAATAAGATATTTTGTCAATTTAATTTTTTGTGGAAGATAATTGTTAAGCCAAAGTTCGAGATCATTCCAAAATTGTTTAGTTTTATTACATTCCCAGAAGACATGGCTGACGTCCTCATTGACAGCATTACAAAAGTTACAAACACTGTTGTCTACAAGATTCATTGTTAATAGTTCCTTCTTTGTGTAGATAATTCCATTTAGAAATCTGTATTGAAAATCTAAAAGTTTTACATCCTTCAGTTTATATCTATAAACAGTAAATATCGTTTTCCAATTAAAATCACAGTGAAAAATTGATTGGCATTTATTACAAGCTTTAAGATTATTTTTATTTTGATATTAATTTAGCATAAAAGATTCTAGCGCCTTTTACAGGCTTAGTCAGATCACTTAAGCAACTGTTTATATACAAATTCTGAAAATTAATTTTTCTAGTTTTCTTGATTGTTATTTTCCATGATTCTGGTATATTGAAGATTACATATCTATAGTCTAATATTTTACCTTTTATCGGATATTTTAGCTTCAGTTCTTCAAATGACATCAGTCCGTTTTCATTGCATATATCTTTAATTGAGTAAATTCCACTATTAGCCTATTGCTTTATGTAGTATGTTGCTTGTTTGAAGTTGTGGTTGAGCCATAATGGTTGGGACAAAATTTCTTCTATATTATCAACGTTAATAATATTCTTTTTACAAAAGTTGTTCCAAGCTTTCAATACATCTTTCCAGTATGGGTTTTTAACAAAAGATTGCTTGTCAACATTAGCACCCAAAGATAGTATATCTTTAATTGGGATATTACAAGGGTTACTATATGTTGTTTTTTTACAATATAATCTGAGTGAAGAGAGTTTTAGTGCGTCAATGAAGACTCTAATGTTAATCATGCGTAATCCACCTTCCTCATATTTTCTTGTCAAAGTACTCCTTTTGATTTTGTCTTTTTTATTATTCCAGATAAAATTGTAAAATATTTTGTCAAGTGACGAGACAAAGTCCTCAGGAGGGTTAGGTAGTGTCGAAAATATATGAACTAATTTTGACAATGCTAAAGGTTTTATGACTGTAATTTTTCCTATTATCGTCAGATTTCTTTATCTCCAATTCGCAAGCAATCTATTTATTTCTTCTAGCTTTCTTTTTGTATTGATTACCCAGAGTTCACTTAAGTTTGGATTAAACGTAATTCCTAATACTTCAAATTCCTTATTGTGCCATTCGATTTGTAAGTCTTGACATAAACGAGCATTGCTACCCGCTTTTGAGCCTATCCATATTGCTTTTGTCTTGTCTACATTAATTTTTAAGCCAGACATTTTGTAGAATTTATTCAGTGTTTCTATAGCTGCATATAAGCTTTCATCTTTGCCATTTAGAAATAATTCAGTATCATCAGCATATTGCCCAAGTTTATATTCTTTGTCATTGATTGTAATCCCTTCAATTTTATTATTATTTCTAATCATACATCCTAGGATTTCAGCTACTAGGAGAAAAATATATGGCGACAAAGGATCTCCTTGTCGACAGCCTCTTTCATTTGTAAAAAATTCTGAAATATGCCCATTTTGTATTCTGCTTGATGTGGTATCGTAAGTTAGTATATTTATCCACCTTATCATTTCTGGTCCAAATCCATATTTTTGTAAAACTTTATTTATAAATTGTTTTGATACTGTATCAAATGCCTTTTCAAAATCGATCAGCAGAAGTAATCCTGGTTTATTTTGTCTTTTTGATTCAAAGATAATATCATATAACAACCTTGTGTTTTCTGAAATAGATCTTCCTGGAATATATCCTGTTTGATTATTATGAATGAGCAATTCCAAGTTTGATTTTATACGGTTTGCAATACAAGTACTTATTATTTTATAGAGTACATTCAATAAAGTTATTGGTCTCCAGTTTTTTAATCAATGTTCTGTCTTTGTTTGATTTTAGTATACAAGTTATAACTCCTCTTTTCATTGTCATGCTCATTTTGTTATTAGCAGAAGTACTTTTTACAAATCTGTATATCCAGAATTTAAGTTCTTTCCAGAAAAACTTAAAAAATTCAATAGGAAAGCCATCAATACCGGGACTTTTATTGTTTTTCATGTTTTTAACTGCCAATGAAATTTCTTTAAGGTCAATTTCTCTTTCTAATAAGTTTTTCATTTGGTTGTCTAATGTTGGTGTCTCTCAATTTGTTAAATTTTCGTAGCTTCTGTCCTTGCTATCAGAAGTATATAATTTTTTATAAAAGTTTCTTAATTCATCCAATATACAATTGCCGTCTGTTATTACCGTATCATCTTCAGTCATGACTTTATTAATTAATATACTGACATAATTTCTATTTTCTAAGTGGCAGAAATAACTTGTTGGTTTTTCTCCTTCCTCATACCATTGCATTCTATTTCTAATTTGTATTCCTCTTATTTCCTCTTATTTTATATGTTAATATGTTCTAGTTGAGCCAGACTTATTTACTATTGTCATATTTAGTTGAAATATTGCCGAGAGCTGGGTTAAAGAGCCAACAAATTATGTTCCCCAGGTGATGGCACCCCCGCCTATTTCTCAGTCAACGAGTTCTGGGACATGTTGCCTGGGAACGAGGGATGCAAAGAGCCGTGTGTGACAAATCCCGACCTCATCCACCATCTGAACCCACGAGCGAGACTTATACTGTCTCTCAGGAACCCTACAAACAGGTGACCGCCTCCGTGGTCTAGTGGTAGAGCGTCCGCCCGGAGTTCGATCCCCGGCCGCGTCATACCAAAAGACGTTAAAAGACTTGTTGTCACCCTGTCTGGCGTTCGGTGATATTTGTAGTTCTAGAAATTTTCCACAATAGCACTATTCCCTACCAGCTGTCTGACTTTCATTTTTGTCGAAGTTCGCTGACTTAGAGTGCTCGCGATTAGGTGTCACTCTCTGGACGGGATTCAACATCAAAACGAACGAGGATCTGTACTTTATTGAAAAAGTGTTATCCCAAATATAACATATTTTATATATATATATTGAGAAAGCCAGTTTACTCGATTCCTGAATAAAATTTATGTCTGTGGTGTAAAGAGAAAAGGTAAACCATTGATTATGAATTTAAGTTAAATTTTAAGTAAAATTACCCAAAATGTTTAATTACACATTATGTGTATACTACTTAATGGAAAATTGTGTACATGTATATACACAAGTGTTCAATCTTTTGTAGACTGTACTCCTTCTATTTCCACCGGTCCCGAATCGCGAAGAGGAAAGTGTCAAAACAAGACTTTCACGACCTGGTTGTATATGAGATCAACGTGTTTAAAGACTGTCTTACATCACAGTCCCTCCGAGGCTGCAGCTACAACTACACCAACTCCTTCGCTGCTTTACGGAAGGAAAGTGTGTCTGATACCATTTTTATCTCATACACAAGCGGGAGGCGTGTCTGATATTATCTTTCTCTCATACACGTGAGAGAGGCATGTCTGATATCATATTTCTCATACACACACGAGATATGTGTGTCTAATCTTCTCGTTCTCTCACACACACGAGATAGGTGTGTCTAATCTCCTCGTTCTCTCCCACACAGGAGGTAAGTGTGTCTAATCTCCTCGTTCTCTATCACACAGCAGGTACGTGTGTCTAATCTCCTCGTTCTCTCACACACACGAGATAAGTGTGTCTAATCTCCTTGTTCTCTCACACACAGGAGGTAGGTGTGTCTAATCTCCTCGATCTCTCACACACAGGAGGTAGGTGTGTCTAATCTCCTCGATCTCTCACACACAGGAGGTATCTCTGTCTAATCTTCTCGTTCTCTCACACACAGGAGGTACGTGTGTCTAATCTCCTCGTTCTCTCACACACAGGAGATAGGTGTGTCTAATCTCCTCGTTCTCTCACACATAGGAGTTAGGTGTGTCTAATCTCCCCGTTCTCTCACACACAGGAGGTGGGTGTGTCTAATCTCCTCGTTCTCTCACACACAGGAGATAGGTGTGTCTAATCTCCTCGTTCTCTCACACATAGGAGATAGGTGTGTCTAATCTCCCCGTTCTCTCACACACAGGAGGTGGGTGTGTCTAATCTCCTCGTTCTCTCACACACAGGAGGTAGGTGTGTCTAATCACCTCGTTCTCTCACACACAGGAGATAAGTGTGTCTAATCTCCTCGTTCTCTCACACACAGCAGGTACGTGTGTCTAATCTCCTCGTTCTCTCACACACAGCAGGTATGTGTGTCTAATCTCGTTCTCTCAAACACAGGAGGTGGGTGTGTCCAATTTCCTCCTTCTCTCACACACAGGAGTTAGGTGTGTCTAATCTCCTCGTTCTCTCACACACAGGAGGTAAGTGTGTCTAATCTCCTCGTTCTCTCACACACAGGAGGCAGGTGTATTTAATTTCCTCGTTCTCTCACACACAGGAGGTATCTCTGTCTAATATCCTCGATCTCTCACACACAGGAGGTAAGTGTGTCTAATCTCCTCGTTCTCTCACACACAGGAGGCAGGTGTATTTAATTTCCTCGTTCTCTCACACACAGGAGGTATCTCTGTCTAATATCCTCGATCTCTCACACACAGGAGATAGGTGTGTCTAATCTCCTCGATCTCTCACACACAGGAGGTAGGTGTGTCTAATCACCTCGTTCTCTCACACACAGGAGTTAGGTGTGTCTAATCTCCTCGTTCTCTCACACACAGGAGGTAAGTGTATCTAATCTCCTCGTTCTCTCACACACAGGAGGTACGTGTGTCTAATCTCCTCGATCTCTCACACATAGGAGATAGGTGTGTCTAATCTCCTCGATCTCTCACACACAGGAGGTAGGTGTGTCTAATCTCCTCGATCTCTCACACACAGGAGGTATCTCTGTCTAATCTTCTCGTTCTCTCACACACAGGAGATAGGTGTGTCTAATCTCCTCGTTCTTTCACACAAAGGAGATAAGTGTGTCTAATCTCCTCGTTCTCTCACACACAGCAGGTATGTGTGTCTAATCTCGTTCTCTCACACACAGGAGGTGGGTGTGTCCAATTTCCTCGTTCTCTCACACACAGGAGGTAAGTGTATCTAATCTCCTCGTTCTCTCACACACAGGAGGCAGGTGTATTTAATTTCCTCGTTCCCTCACACACAGGAGGTATCTCTGTCTAATCTTCTCGATCTCTCACACACAGGAGGCAGGTGTATTTAATTTCCTACTTCTCTCACACACAGGAGTTAGGTGTGTCTAATCTCCTCGTTCTCTCACACACAGGAGGTAAGTGTATCTAATCTCCTCGTTCTCTCACACACAGGAGGCAGGTGTATTTAATTTCCTCGTTCTCTCACACACAGGAGGTATCTCTGTCTAATCTTTTCGTTCTCTCACACACAGGAGGTACGTGTGTCTAATCTCCTCGTTCTCTCACACACAGGAGGTACGTGTGTCTAATCTCCTCGTTCTCTCACACACAGGAGATAAGTGTGTCTAATCACCTCGTTCTCTCACACACAGGAGTTAGGTGTGTCTAATCTCCTTGTTCTCTCACACACAGCAGGTACGTGTGTCTAATCACCTCGTTCTCTCACACACAGGAGATAAGTGTGTCTAATCTCCCCGTTCTCTCACACACAGGAGGTAAGTGTGTCTAATCTCCTTGTTCTCTCACACACAGGAGTTAGGTGTCTCTAATCTCCTTGTTCTCTCACACACAGGAGATAGGTGTGTCTAATCTCCTCGATCTCTCACACACAGGAGGTAGGTGTGTCTAATCACCTCGTTCTCTCACACACAGGAGATAAGTGTGTCTAATCTCCTCGTTCTCTCACACACAGCAGGTACGTGTGTCTAATCTTCTCGTTCTCTCACACACAGCAGGTATGTGTGTCTAATCTCCTCGTTCTCTCACACACAGGAGGTAAGTGTATCTAATCTCCTCGTTCTCTCACACACAGGAGGCAGGTGTATTTAATTTCCTCGTTCTCTCACACACAGGAGGTATCTCTGTCTAATCTTTTCGTTCTCTCACACACAGGAGGTACGTGTGTCTAATCTCCTCGTTCTCTCACACACAGGAGGTACGTGTGTCTAATCTCCTCGTTCTCTCACACACAGGAGATAAGTGTGTCTAATCACCTCGTTCTCTCACACACAGGAGTTAGGTGTGTCTAATCTCCTTGTTCTCTCACACACAGCAGGTACGTGTGTCTAATCACCTCGTTCTCTCACACACAGGAGATAAGTGTGTCTAATCTCCCCGTTCTCTCACACACAGGAGGTAAGTGTGTCTAATCTCCTTGTTCTCTCACACACAGGAGTTAGGTGTCTCTAATCTCCTTGTTCTCTCACACACAGGAGGTAGGTGTGTCTAATCACCTCGTTCTCTCACACACAGGAGTTAGGTGTCTCTAATCTCCTTGTTCTCTCACACACAGGAGGTAGGTGTGTCTAATCACCTCGTTCTCTCACACACAGGAGTTAGGTGTGTCTAATCTCCTTGTTCTCTCACACACAGGAGGTAGGTGTGTCTAATCACCTCGTTCTCTCACACACAGGAGTTAGGTGTCTCTAATCTCCTTGTTCTCTCACACACAGGAGGTAGGTGTGTCTAATCACCTCGTTCTCTCACACACAGGAGGTAAGTGTGTCTAATCTCCTTGTTCTCTCACACACAGGAGGTAGGTGTGTCTAATCACCTCGTTCTCTCACACACAGGAGTTAGGTGTCTCTAATCTCCTTGTTCTCTCACACACAGGAGGTAGGTGTGTCTAATCACCTCGTTCTCTCACACACAGGAGTTAGGTGTGTCTAATCTCCTTGTTCTCTCACACACAGGAGGTAGGTGTGTCTAATCACCTCGTTCTCTCACACACAGGAGTTAGGTGTCTCTAATCTCCTTGTTCTCTCACACACAGGAGGTAGGTGTGTCTAATCACCTCGTTCTCTCACACACAGGAGTTAGGTGTGTCTAATCTCCTTGTTCTCTCACACACAGGAGGTAGGTGTGTCTAATCACCTCGTTCTCTCACACACAGGAGTTAGGTGTCTCTAATCTCCTCGTTCTCTCACACACAGGAGATAAGTGTGTCTAATCTCCTCGTTCTCTCACACACAGGAGGTAAGTGTGTCTAATCTCCTCGTTCTCTCACACACAGGAGATAAGTGTGTCTAATCTCCTTGTTCTCTCACACACAGGAGGTATCTCTGTCTAATCTTCTCGTTCTCTCACACACAGGAGATAGGTGTGTCTAATCTCCCCGTTCTCTCACACACAGGAGGTGGGTGTGTCTAATCTCTTCGTTCTCTCACACACAGGAGGTAGGTGTGTCTAATCACCTCGTTCTCTCACACAAAGGAGATAAGTGTGTCTAATCTCCTCGTTCTCTCGCACACAGCAGGTACGTGTGTCTAATCTTCTCGTTCTCTCACACACAGCAGGTATGTGTGTCTAATCTCGTTCTCTCACACACAGGAGGTGGGTGTGTCCAATTTCCTCCTTCTCTCACACACAGGAGTTAGGTGTGTCTAATCTCCTCGTTCTCTCACACACAGGAGGTAAGTGTATCTAATCTCCTCGTTCTCTCACACACAGGAGGCAGGTGTATTTAATTTCCTCGTTCTCTCACACACAGGAGGTATCTCTGTCTAATCTTTTCGTTCTCTCACACACAGGAGATAGGTGTGTCTAATCTCCCCGTTCTCTCACACACAGGAGGTAAGTGTGTCTAATCTCCTCGTTCTCTCACACACAGGAGGTAAGTGTGTCTAATCTCCCCGTTCTCTCACACA